CATATTTCGTATGTTCAGAGAGTTTGTTGATCCTACCAACGAAATATTAATTTCAGTTAAATTTTTGCAAGTTACAAAAAACCTAGTTCATGACAGATACTCACCTTTTAGCTTCATCAACCACCTGATAAAGACAAAAATTAGATTATCTAAGCACCAAGTAACAGTAAACATCAATAATGAAATTAAACTCACCCCCCGGTTGGCTAACTCAAGCAAAACCTCTTCAGCGTGCTCGAACTTTAGTAGTGGTAAAGATATATCTTCGATTTTCGCATTGCTTGACTTAACTGCTTCAAACAGATCACTCGCATGGGTTCCTGATAGGACGACAAAGAGAAAATACCTATTTGCATTATTCGTGATGACCCTTGAAAGAGACCTAAGAACTTCCCGAAGCCAGAGACCACCTTGTCCTGAATCAAATAGCTCATTTGTTTCATCGATGTTGATAATAAAGAGAGGATATTCAATCTGCTCATCCAGACATGGGATATAATGTAGAATTACTTTAAGAATATCTTCAAGGTTAATATTTCCTTCCAACATGTTGATTAACATATTATGAGTGAAACTTCTATTGTAAAGGCAATTACAAAGTGATCAAATAAGTGTTATTATATCATAACAAGAATTTTCAAAGGAGTGTATGTAAGAGACTTACTTCAACCGATATTTCAAGGCTTCATATAGCAAAACTTTTCCAAAAAGCGACTCATGCTCAATATTTGGATGCATTGCTACTGAAAAATCATTACATACGACTCGGAAAGTCCGACCTGCTTCTTGACATTCTTCCACCGCATCCATAACATCAGAACTGATAACACCAGAATAAATGCCTGATTTTTCATATGCTCGCCGAGCAAATGTAGTTTTTCCTTTTCCAGGCGTCCCCACAGCCGTAGGGAATCTTATTTCCTTTTTGGATTCTGAATAGTTGTTGCGATTTTTAATGAGGCGATACAAATCTTCCATATTCTTCATTAATTGAATGACATCTTTTTCACGGTCTACAAACTTCAGATAAGTCGAAATGTTTGCAAGGCCGTCCGGAACATTGACTATTGATTTACGAAGTGGGTCTGGTGGTTCACCAATTAATGGATCAAGAATATTTATGATATCATCATAGGATAGCTTAGTTAGATGCGCTAAATGTGTGCAATGACAGTGAGATAACTGTGTAAGTTTGGTATAGTTAAATGCATTATTATCAAGCAAACCATCTAGTTACAAAGAAAGATACCTTGTGGAACGACTCGCTGGGAAGGACCTTCTTTAACGCAAAAAAAAGATCAGACTAAATTCGATATTTTGTTACTGCAAATTTTTTAGTTCGAGAGGTAAAACATTGGGAGACATACCAGTGGTGGCAGGCGGTGGTGGTTGCA